TGCCAGGAGGACCTCCACTGCACGTGTCCCCAAAGGACAACAGAGACACGTGAACGTGTAGGTGATGCACACATGCAGTGCCCAAACATGTGGGTAAAAGTCATGTTGTGTACTCGCCTAATGAGCTGAGGCTTTTATTGTGAAAAACACCTCAACTCCTTTAGCAGAGTTTTTCCTCGAGTATAAAGAAACACAAATGTATTAATATGTGACACAGGTTCATGATATCTGTCATATAATAGTGGCACATGGTTATACATACACAACATACACATACCATGTGTTCACATCCATATGCTGTATATATACACCTGAGCATGTACATACTGTATGTATTTGTGCATACAAATGTATACGCAAACATACATACACATCAAATATAGGTATACAAACATACATTTATATATAATGTTGCCCTCAGCAGAGTTTCTACACTGTATCTTTACTTTGTGGACATCCAGGCTGCTTGTAAATACCACGAAGCACTAAAGGCTCAATCATGTGTCAGTGTCTTGCTTTGTCTGAAAGCTGTAATTCAGTATTGACCTCCTGCTCATAATCATCCAGCCGCAGCTGTTACACACTGACATTAGTGGCCTCTTGTCTTTGCTGAGCAACAGGCTGCAAAACATGAGTCCTCTGGCAAAATACTGCAACTCTTCCAGCTTACTTAAACTACTATAGATTATAGCACCTTTGAGTTACTCTGATGGCATTTCAATCAGGAGGGACACAATAAAGATGAAAATTGTGAATCCTCTGGCGATGAGAACCCAGCTGTCACGACGCAGGAAGATCAGGATTGGACCCAAATGTAAGACAGCAAAGGAAGCAGGATGATTTTGGTGATTAAATATAGTAATTCCACAAATGGGCAGGTGCAGGTAAACAAATGCAGCACCAAAAGACCAAGCAAACCAGAATGAACTGACACAGCACCAAGAAAACACAGACTGAACACACAGGTGAGAGGAGGAATAACAAGACACACAAAATTACTGTACTTCACTACTCTAATTTACATTTATTTTGTCTCATTTATAAAGCATTTAAAATATGTAAATTATTTTACTGCTGATAAAGTTGTGATTTATCAGATGTACATCTCTATATATTTGGGAAACACTGTTATAGACTTGTGAGAGAGGTTCAGGGTTTTCAGTGATTGATGAGTTGTGATAACGTTGGTGATGATAGAATAAAAATCTCACAAGTGGCCAAACATATCGACTTTTTGGAAGAATATAATAAAGATATGACATGAAGGACATGACTGAGAGCTGCTGCTGGACTAAACGTATACCTAGTGATTGAGAGTGAAAACAACAACAACTTTGGGCTTCCTCTTCACTGCTCTTCCTCGGATAAGAGCAGCGATGAAGTCCAGAGGTGAAGAGTTGATATACGTGACACATCTGGCGAGTCAATTTCCGCTCGGGGGTTCAGAACCTCGCGGCGTCTCTGTGGACCATCTGGGGACATGCAGCTGTAAACAGCCGGTGTCCAGCAATGACAACACACACACACACACACACACACACACACACACACACACACACACACACACACACACAGTACCAGCACCAATCCACAAAGGAACAGATCTGGACAAACAGAGAAGAGGCCAGCTGTAGTTCTAATACAGCAGTAGGGGTCCAGGTCGAAGGTCAAAGATGTCTGGTTATTCTATTTTACTCTTTATTCTGAACTGTCAGCGTTACACTTCTGCTCTGATCCTGTCCGATCTGACATGCTGCTGCTTCAGTCTTTAACCTCTAAAATTCTTATTTCCACATTAAAGGGCCCCGTGGACTTTTCTTGCAAACAAACTTTATGTTATGACATATTGTGATTCTTTAACTTTGTTACTTTAGTTATTTCCTACAATATAAGCAGGTTCTATATCTCACAGTGGATCTCTGAACTGAAACTTTCTGAAAATTTCTCTATTCTTTAACTTTTAACTACAACAGCGCCACTGAAATGACTTTCCTCCACATTAGCTCCCAGTGCCTGATCTGAAACAACATTTAAGCTACAGCAATTACATTTATGGATAAGACTCACACACACCTTTAACACAGTCCTTTAAATCATAGAAATGTTAGCCCTATTGATTTATCCAAAATGATGTTCTGGACTGATTGACATCAGGGTTTTCCTTTGAGAGTGAAACAGTTTCACATTCAGAGTAATATGACTATTTACTTTTTTACAGTGGAAAATTAGAACTAATTCATACATTTATCTCTCATTCAACAGCTGAAAACAAAATTTCTAAGCATTTTTTGATGAAATCATATACAGACTGACAATGAAACACAGAGAATGCATCATCTGTACTTTAAAGAGTGAATTATATATTTATGCAATTTTCTCCCTCAGATGGTTTTGGTGTATTCAGGGTTTTTTTCAGCGGTATTGTATTGTGAGAAGTGTTACGTTGTGTACAGCTTGAATAAATCTAGTTTTAAATAAAGGAAATCTCTGTTGGTTTCTTCATAATGGAAAAATAATCTGTTGTGATTTAAAAAGTGGGGACATCAGATGTGGAAAATAACAGAAAGGAGGACAGTCAAAGTCAAGCAGACTTGGATTCTTTCTCCTTAATACATCATCATTTGTGAGGATTTAGTATTGATTTATATTAAATCCCTGGGAGTGAATCCTAACCTTGACGGTGTCATAACCTTAAACCTAAAAAGGGACAGAAAGACGACAGCTCTGGTCGTTTGCTTTTAAACTCTGCTACTTTTTTTCATGTTACCTCTAGCAAATGTGTGAACAGTCCTCTGTTAATTGTGTGTACTGTTACAGCCTTATTAATCCCATATTGCATATAATACAGAAAGTTCAGAGTAAACTTTGAGACCAACAGTTTGACCTGATCCCTGCAAATATGTGGAAGTTTTTATTATTTCATATGTGTAAATATAAGCAATTGTATGGTGGAACACAGCTAATATGAAATGGTTTGCAATTGGTCAACTGCACAAATGAACCTCAACGCTGCAAGCAAATGTATTGATTGTGGTGATTCCATTGGCGTAAGTTAAAACAACCGAGGTGACGCTGGAATACAGCCACTGTATTTTCTAGCTTCTCACACTTTATGCCATTTTCTTTGAGTGTCTAAAAGTGTTTTTATGCTTTATATGTGCCCAGTGTCTGTAGTTTAATCTACTACTAAGAATCACCAAATGCAATGCTTCACTGTGTGAATGTCAGTGATGGCAGAAAATAATGACAATTCATGCTAAAAGTCAATTTAAGCTCAATTTGTTCACTAAAGAGTAGAGTAGGCAGGAGCCAGCAACCTTAACCGTCCATATAGAAGCCTTACAATGTCTATTTCTTGCTGCAGATGAAACATGCCTAAGCCAGCAGCGTTGGTGGTAAAAGCAAACAAATCTGTCCATTCATTATTATATTCTCTAGTTTTGTCTGACACTTTCATTTTGTTGGATTTGGAAGCCATAGGTAGTCTAGCTAGGAAGAGTCAAAGCTAGTAGCTATTCAGAGTCAGCCAAATATAAAGGAAAATGCGGCAGGTGAAGACGTATGTGAAGAATGTATGACGCAGATTTTACTTGATGAAATGTTAAAACATTTTTACTATTGGAGAGAAGAATCATCACTTACAACAATAATATATGAAAATGTTTTTAAAAAATAACATTATTCATTTCCATATGGTCATTGAAGCTGACTGCAATGACGGCAATGGTGGTGAAGACAACAACTCCCATGATCCCACGCTACTACAAGACTTCATCAAAGTTTGTTATTGTTTTGATGTGAGAGACCCCCTAGTGGCACATTTACACATTATACAATTAGATGTAATGTCTTTAAATGTTTCTTTTTGTATTTCGTTTACTCTGTTTTTACCTTCCTGCCTTAACTTCATAAAAGCCCTTCTAGGTGTTGCAATTAGCATTGGCTAAAAACACTTCTTTCTATGTTTGCTGTATCTGTCCCTATCAAATAAACCCTAAACAAATAAATAGGGTTGTCTTTAATTGTTTATGAATTCAACTTTTCATTTGTAAAATGACACTTATGTTATTTCTTCTTTCAAAAGTAACATAAACTCACTTTAAAGCCCTCAGAAATGACCTTTTCAGTTCATGAGTATTCTGAATGTTATGAAATATGAGTCAGTTTTCATTAGGGATGGCTCAATACCTCATCTTTTCAAACTGAAAAATCAATCAATCAAATTTTGAGGATGCCTGACCTTTACCGGCAGTGGCAGTATGCTAGGGGTGAGTGGGTGTCTTTGGTCGATCAGCTTTCTCTCAGTTTAAGTAGTGAGGAAGTGGAATGCCATGCCCGTTAACATTAGAGACTCAGGAAGCTCTGCAGTGTTTCAACCAACCTCAAGCTCTGGCGGAAGTCAGCACAAAAATGTCACCAGTGATTACCTTTATTGTATTTATAATCATATTGATTGAACTTATTATCTCACACTAATAGACCTTTTATGTACTGTGCTGTTTTACGTTGTGTATTTATGGTTCTGTGAAGTTGTGTGAAGGTCCAGCCTAAAAGTGTTTCTGATGTCTACTTAAGCCTCTGATATTTTGATGTTTTTAAAATTGATTACATAAATTTGGATAAAAACCTACAGATGGGTGATGATTTAAAGGACAAACCAACCTCCTAGTCTCAATTCTCTTAATTAATTCACATCATTTTAATTCCCATCATGAATTCTCATTCATTCAGATTTCCCCTTTCATGTGTCACCCATCTGTATCTGTCACACACTGTCTATAACTGAGGAGATAACATACCAGCAAACAGGCGTGTTTGTAGGGTTAGTTTTAGGTCATTGAGGCGGTCTGAATGTAATTCCAGCAGGCTGTGTGCGCAGGTAAAGATGTGTCAGCGCGCAGCTCCGCGCCGCTGCTGCGTCTGTGCGCGCCGCTGCTGCGTCTTTGCGCTCCCTTATCAGGGAGGAGCGCACCTTGTGTGGCTCAGTCAAGTCCCGGCTCTCCAACGCGCGTAATGCGGACCTTCCCCTGCAGCGGTCTTATCTGCAAACGGCCAACGAGCGGCTCAGTTCATGGATTGTTTTAACGCGGGGGTCGTTTCTCATTCCCGAAGACTGATTTCATCCGTGGACATATTTTTACTTTTTCTGTCTATAGTTTCCAAAGTGAACAAACCTTAGAAATGTTTCTGCACAGGATGCTCATCTGTGGGAGCTCGTGCTTGAAACGGATGGCCACATTACTTCACGTGGGTCTGATCCTGCAGCTGGCGGCGTGGGAAACGGTGAGTCCACTGGCAACACTCAGGTTCTGGATCTGTGGGACCAGGTTTCTAATAGAATTATATAACAACACCTAATGCATTCAGATTTAGGTTGTTTAACACAACAACAAAAAGAAGCTTTTTTTGCTGCATATTTAAAGAAGAAAGAATTTTTCCTAGTTTTAACAACCATAAAATATATTCGATTCTGATTAATCCAAGCATTGCAAATATAATTTAGAAATTAACCCACCTTTTCTACTTTTAATATTGAATATTTGAGTGTTTGCTCATTTGAATATTTATTTATTTACTTGTCATTTTCTTCTTTCTTGTATTGCAGTTTAATTTAATTATGTCCATGTAAAGTTCAGTTAGATTTTATAGATTTAACATCATTTAGATTGCTATATGTGATGTAATGGGACTCTTAAGCTATCTGAATAACTTATTGCAGGGGTTCCTAAACTTGTTCAGGGCAAAGACCCCCACAATAAATGCACATTAGACCATGGACCCCCACTTTGAGAGGATTTTGTTGTAAGGCATCACCTCTGAGTAATGATTTTATGTTTAGGTTTGAAGAGAGTAAAGTCTTCATCTACGTTCAATCCAAACGCCAACCCTATTTCTTCCCTCATTCTTTCAACTTCCAAAAAATGGGATAAAAATGTAAATATTCTATCCCTCCTTTTGCTGGGGACTCCCCTACAACCCACTCACGGACCTCTGTTGGTTCCCGGACCCCAGTTTGTGCCTTATTTATGCCAGATTAAATATTAATTCAGAAATGCAAGTCCAGATGAGAAGCTGTTTTCTGCGTGTATTGGCGTGCTGCCCTCCTGTTGTCTGACCTGTCTGAATTGAATTACAGTAATTACCTCAGGGATGACGCGATTTAACTCCATTATTGGCTGTTCTGTGTGGTCTTTTAATAGTCCCAACTTTTGCCATATCACCTCGACTTTTGCTTTTTGCTCTATGTTGGTGTCCTAATATAAAAAAATCCTTTTCAAAGTTTCAACTGTGAACAGGAGTATACAGTGATAAAAACATATACCTCAAATAAATATTCAATCAATAAAAAGTATGATGCAGTGGTGTCTCGCGTGGCTCCATTAACACTGGACACTCACTTGACTCTGCTGCCTTTGGCTCCAGACTGACAGCAGCAAAGAGAAAGCATTAATATTTTCTCTTTTTTCTGCATATGCACATTCCCCTTTTTGAAATTCAAATTATGCAGACAATTCAGGGTGGAGGGTATTTCTATTCTATTCCATTTTATCCTTATTTGAACCTAATGTCATCCTGGAGGCTCCATCAGCAGCACCTGAGGGCTCATCAGGATCTAAATCCTGACGGAGGATTCGGTTTTATGACGTCTCTTCCCCAATCCTGAAGGCTGTTAATGGTCCTTTGTTGTCCCTTCCTTTATTAGCTGCTTCCTCCAGAGACTCTGCTGCACCTCTGATTGGTATCAGGACCGAAGGTGCTCATTTGATTCACTCTGCGTTTTCATTATAGTCCCTGACATGGATAAGAGCGGGACAGACGTCTAATGCCACTTATTGACCTGCTGGATCACTTTAATTGCATATGAAGCGATCATGGCAGGAGTGACTTAGTGTGCACACATCCACATCTTTTTTTCCCCTGCTCTTTGTTGACATTTATTTATTTTTTTAAATATACTGTGAGCTTTCTTTCATCAATTCTCAAAAGCAGGTTTACAAATTGCCAATATCCATATTGGAAATTCCTCAGATACTGCCTAAAATGCAATATTGGCCAGTACATATATATCATGTATGCAGAGTTCAGGTATCGGTATTTGGTATCGGGAACAAAAAAAATGGTATCGGAACATCTGTATTACAAATTCATTACCTTGCATTGTCAAAAAACAGTATATAGTATATAAAGAAATCAAATTTATTGTATAAAAAAGTCAATGAGAAGTTTTCAGATGTCTTCACTCAAGTAAAAGAAGCAAAACCACACAGTCAAACTACTCCATTACAACTGAAAGTTCTGCAGTACAACGTTACTTAAACTGGTTATGAAATAGTCACAATTTAATGCCGATGCCTCTACATGACTTACACAAACAAACAAGACCGTCAGTGGCTATTTCTTCATAGTGATTCTTGATGCCTGCCATCAGGTCAGATTTGGTCGAATTCCCCTTGAAATCAATGAAACGATGCGGTAGAAACACTACCGCTTGTGTCCACAGAGGGTCGCCAGAATCAACACAAAATGAATGTTCCTTTTAGTTCCTTAAAACGGCAATAATATACTAAAAATATATTTTTGAAACTGTTACCTTGACATCGATACCGGTTCCTGATTGCTTTTTCAGTACCAATTTTATTATGGTACAATTACTCATAGGCGGAAACTGTTCCTGAGACCTGGGAGCAGCTGAACAAAGTCAACCTGGATAACTGGACTAAAATGATATTTGTACAGTGTTGGACTATATAAAACTATAAAAAAAAAACTGTCAGATATTCAATATTTGGGTTCACTGTACAGTTTATCAGTTGTTTTGTACTATTATGTAAATCTGTCACTCATGGAGTGTCAGTTTACTCAATGATAAAAAAGCGGTCCCTTAAGTGGGCTAAGAGGTAGAGCGGGTGGGTCCATTAATCAGAAGGTTGGCTCCTCTCGCTGCATGTCGAAGTGTCCTTGAGCAAGACACTGAACCCCAAATTGCTCTCGATGCTGTGCTTCGGTGTACGGGTGTGTATGAATGATTAGTTTCCGTTCTGGTGAGCAGGTGGCATAAAATACAGTCCATTTACCATTTAAGTTTCTGGTAATAGTGGCAGAGTGAGACCTCCTACTGTCTCTGTGCTAGAGACAACAATCCACTGTCAACCTTTTCTCTTTTCATGTGTCTGTAAACACCATGCCGTCTGAAGTGCTCTCTGCCCTCACTCTGGCAATGAGAGGGAACGGAGCGGGGGGGTGAATGGACTCACAGACGAGCAACGGGTTAGCTGCACTGGATAACTAACAAGCAGCCCAAAGGTCATTAGTAGTCTGTGCAGATAAGTCCTGTCTGTCTCTGGGAACACTTATTTTATGTTCTCATGTGTGAAATAAAATACTACATGTACAGGCCCACTGTTGCAACATTGCAACCATTATTATTTTTATAATTATTCCCGTGAAAACTCAAGAGGGACCCTTTATTAGAATAAATATAAATGTATTTCACTTATGCATTGTGTAAGCAACATAAGAGCTACTTTCATTACTTTCACTACATCATATAGTGTTGGCTAGTTCAATTTATTTATGTTTTGTTTGCTTTATTATAACAGTGCTTTATTATTTGTAAACTCATCATATGTTAGTAAAGTAACTTGTACTTACAGTACTTTAATAAATGTCAGCTATGACATTCCACCATTTGTAGAAAAAATCTTCTGATTTTCTACAGAGAGCACTTTTTGAGCCGTGACGTCAGCAGACTCACAACCCTTTGTCTCCAGCCGGAGGCAAGTTAAGCGTCTGCCTTGAAAACATGACATAATGCCTTAAAATCAATTCTAAATGCCACAAGTGAGCAGTGCAGAGAGGTCAAGGTGTTTTTCTAGATTGTGAGTTATCTTTCTCGTGGTTGTATTTTGTCCAAACGGAAGGCGGTTAATTGATTTTAGGGGCCAATAATGAGTGACAGTGATCCAGTTACTGGAAACGAAAGCAGGAGGGATCTGTGTGTCTAAAAATAAAAATAATGATGCAAATTTAAGAGATGCTCCTAAGATGAAAGATAGTGGATTTTGTTGTGCTGTTAAAATGTTAACAGAAGTCTGAAGAGAAATTACGGTTTATTAAAACTCGGGTGTTGAGGCTTGAACCTGTTTGTCCGGACAAAGTGGCGTGTTTGCGCAGAAAGCAAAGTGATTTTTTGTTAATGTTTGCAAAGTCAATGCAAAGCCATGTAAAATCTGTCCCATTCGCATTGAAAATATTCAACTTTGAGCAAAATATTCACACGTAGTGCAAGGCTTTTGCAGTTGTGTCTGGGGATGACTATCTGTGGGCACCCAACTACTGCTTCATGTTTATACTGACAAAAAAGGAGACTGGAGGATGTGAGTGAGAGGAGAGGTCTGATCGATTCGGTACACCTGTGTATCATCAGCGTAAAAATGAAGAAAAATAATGAATTACTTAATAATAATAATAATAATAATAATAATAGACACACTGCACACACACACACACACACACACCTCTAATGACATCAGAGACCTGGTGATTAGCTGTCCTTTGTATTACTGTTAAATTTTGAATGTAAATGAGGGCGGCAAGGTAAAGGTCGGCTGGAGGCGATTGGCGCCCTGCGATAATGACCCAGTTAAGACAGTGATTGAATTTAAATGACATTGCTGCCACGTAAACTGTTGCCATTTAGGATCGAGGGTTACAATAATGAAAGTGCATGCTCAAATGGCACTCTTGACTCACACACACACACACGATCTGATTTTATTATTCTGCACCTATTAAGTTGGGGAAAAAACATCTGCCAGGCTCGGCACTTCATCATATCAGTTAAACCAGATTCTCTGCATATCACTAAACTGTAAAATTACTCTTTGTGCTGCTTCATAAGACAGCAGGTCGTGCTACTATCTTGCTTGCGTAAAGGAGGTTTGTTCCATAAACCTGCCGGGCAGATATGACTGTGATGTTTTGTGTCACGGTGAGGCTGCGCTGCCAGATCGAGTTTCAGCCACACAGACTCATTTGTTGCTGCTGTAGATATAAACTATCAGTGATTTAGGAGTTTATAGGCCACCCAGTTAAAATGAATTGTGTAAATATTTTGCCTTTTCACAGTAAATTCTCCTTGTGTACAGTCATGTGTTTAGGGGGTACTGTGGATTTATCAGACAGACCTTAAATTAGAAAATAAGTCTGTGTAATGGAAGGAACTGATGCCATTATGTATCAGAAAACCTGGATTTACTGTGTGAGAAGACAGCTACCAGTTTTGGAAACAAGACAAAAACAATTTCTGATACTTTAATGAACATAATCAAACTGTATTAATAATTAATTCTCACTATGTACTGTCTTTGACAGCTGGAGTGTCCAGAAATTACACTAGAAGGACCATGTCATATTTTGAAGTGGAGAACCACTGATTTGATGATTTGGGAGTGAGTCCAGGTTGACCACACCTGGGACACAAACTCTGTTCTTCACTGTCAAAGTCCTGCAGTTTGTGCAACACAAGATCGTAGCACGTAGAATGAACCTATTACCTTTCGTCCAGAACATACAAACTCTCTCTCTTTTGACTCAAAGTATAGACTCCTAACACAAGAATGAGCTCCTACTAAGTTTTTAGTTTCTCAGCAACCGATCCAATGAAGGAAAGACACACACAGAATGACCTATAGACAACAACTTGACAGCTGTAGGGTAAGATGTCCTGCAACAGGCCAGGAGGTGTTCCTATCCAATGGTAGTGTGCGTCTCCTCTCGTGTTAATCCCGGACACTGCAGCGATGTGAGAGGATGAGGTCAGATGTCAAGCTCACCTGCAGAGTCTCCATCTGTCCAACAGGCAGGTGTTCTACCTGCGATGGTTCACACATTTCAAACCAAATACATTCACAGAAATCAATTACACACCATCGGAGCAATTATAGGGAATATTTCTCACTCGACAGCAAAACAGATGAATAGACTTTATGACAGGATTGCACAGAATTAATGTAACTGCAGGGTGGAGATTCTGCTGGAATATAATATCTTACTGAATGTAGACATTGTAAGATTATTATAGGCCTACTGTATATGGGTCTGCTGGTTTCTGTCCTCCTCCTCTGCACATTCTTCAGAAGACGTGAAAGGAAGTGCAAGGAAGAGGAGACTTGACAGTAGATGTCAGGAATTTAAGAGGAAGTCGTTGAACTCCCACGTGTCAGCTGTCGGCTGCTGATTACCGTGCAGAGGTTCATCACTGGAGGGGAACCGCCTACGCCTTCTTGGTTTTCAAATGGGGTGAGAGGTAGAGCCCTGCATGGGCCAAAAACTGCATCCCCAGCCCGACAAAGTCTGCAGTTTTTCAGCCCGAGATCGACTCCGAAAGCAGTACGACTTTAAGCTCTCCCTGATGTATGCTCTCTCTCAGAAACACACACAGGCCCCAAACTATCAGTGATTTGTGATCATACCCACAAATATTATTACCAGCTGTCCATTACAGAGAAGCATTGGCATGTCATTAGCAATATGGACAAGCTACGTTATGCAGTAGCAAATAAGCAAACAAAGATTTAGTGCCCACCTTTCTTTGACCCTTGTGTTGCCCATAAAATGTTTTTTAAAAATGCTGCAAAAGTTCCCCTCTTGCAAGCCCCTATAGTTGATAAAACACTATAAAATGCTGTCTAGGGCAGTGGTTCTCAAACCAGGGGTGAACAGAAAAAAACAAAGATCAGAAAAAGCAAGTTTTCTTAGTCCCACCAAGTTCCCCCGAAAGCATATAGTTCACACACTGGTGCTAACCCTAACACTGAATAAACTGTTTCTCCATAAATGCATCACAACTTTCTGCAGAAAACCATACAAAATCAATGTAATGCAGAGCTATGACAGTAGCAGGACAGTGATATGTATAAAATAAGGATTAGATTAAACTCACATGATTGTTAGGCAGAACAAAATGTTAAAAGCATAAAGATGGAGAGATCAATATGTCAGTAATCAACACTTAGACACTGCTGACTTAAAAATAATATTGATTATAAAGGGTTGTTTTAAATTTCACAAGGTCACCGCAGACATTAAATGCACTTTCTGCATTTACTTGGCTTCATATTTGTGCCAGTGAACACACCCTGGTAGCCTTGGTCCACAGCACAGGGTTCCTCCATCCGTCTGCTTTTTGTAAGAATCAATGTTTAAGGAATCAGTTTAATGCTGAAATATGCATCTTTCAGTGTTCTGCATTATGTTTGAATCCCTGTTCTTCCTTCGGTTGTTCCTAAACACAGTGTGAAGGCTTATAAACCATTTATTTACTTTGGTCCTTCTTTGCTGAATCAGACAGATTTTGTTAAAGTAGCTGAATATGTAAATCAGCCACACTTGCAAAAGTTGGATTATGTGGCAGCTACCACAGTGTATTAGATTTTCTTTTGCATTAATGTGTTGATTTTAATGTGTTGAAGCTGCTGTGGGACAGCTGTGTTTTAAGCAAACTTGGCTTGGTAATGTGATGACTAGCAGTGCACAGAGTTCAAGTGAGGTGAATGTGTTGATCATTAAACTCTTCAAGATGATAAAAAATTGAACTGTATTTAAATATTTTAACTGAATGTATTCTTTTTTAAGACTGGTAAGAGATTCAAAATTCATGACCGGCGTATTTCACTGACGTATTTAATGTCGTAGAAGAAAACGTGAAAATCTCTTAAGCTTGTGTTAACCAAAAAGCCCACTGACTTTAATGCGAAGGCACCAGACATAAATCCTAACTCATTTCCGAAATTGATTAAAATCACTATATTTGTTAGTCAGTGATCTTTTCAGCGTTGATTCATCAATGTTACAGTTAGAAGAAAACTGCAGTAAACAGTAAATAAATAAACAGTAGTCAATTTGCAGCAGCAGAAAAATCTGCAGTGGTGAGAACAGCCAAGTGGATTGTCCCATAAATGCTGACCATCTATCTGTAATGAACCTGAGAAGATTCACGAAGGAGGAATAAAACCGGGGTTAAATGTGTCAATACAAGGCCTATCAGTAAATTATATGACAATTTGTGAGTAAGTGTTGTCCTGTACTGTCTGTCTGGAAAATGTCCTGGAAAGGTCAAGAAAATGATTTCTTTAAAAGATATGGGACTCATAAGGTCAAACCTTTTTGTAGGTCAGTCTTTATATAAAAATCTTGTGACACAAGATAAATAATGAAATAATTACCGTCATTGTCAATTTAAAACATTCATACCATCCTAATAAATAGTGTACTGTAGGTAACATTGTTGTATACAGTCTGTGTTAAATTAATATTGTAGTATAATTTGTTCCATTGTTTGGCTCAGACGTTATTCCTGTGATTAATTCAGCCATTCCTGGTGTCACTGTCAGCGTAAACACTGTTACCCGCTAAACCTTGTATCATCACTGCCGAGTGCTATAACGTGCAACTCAACTCTACTGTTCTCTGTTCGTAGACAGAGGCCATCCACCCGGACTGCGCCCTGGTGGTTCAGCACATGAAGGCTCAGGAAGAATGCAACCGGATCCTCAAACAGGAGGAGAAGAACCACTCCACCAGGACAGGTCTGTGTGTTTTAATCTCCCATCTGGGGACAAACATCGGGTCCCCACAAGGTTGACAACTGACTTTAGTCTTAGGACTTGGTTTAAGAGTTAAGATTAAGCTTAGCCTAAGGTTGAGGTAGGGTTGGGTTAGATATATAGTTATGCCAACGTTTAGGGAAACCCTTTAGAGAATCTTTGCTCTATATCCTTAAGTGAGTTTTATTTTATATTTTAATGTAAATTGACTGACTGAGATTACTAATTAAACTGTAAAGTTAGTATATTTTGTAATTAATTACATTTTTGTAGACTCTAAGCATTCAACCCGGTCTCTCGCTAAAGTGTGCAATAGATTCACCGATCCACTAGAGGATACTATGTCAGTGTGACGTTTTACTAGATGTGAAGTACACACGCGTATGAAGGTGCAGTACCAGCAGTAGTATAAAGAGCGACAAAGACCACGACTGGAGGAGGAGGAGGTGGCTTGTCAGGTATGATGTTTTCATAAACCTAACCAAGTAGTTCTTGGTGCCTAAACCAAAACTGCAACCTCAGCGAGCTTTATTTTGAAAGTGTAACTTGCATATTTATTATTTCTAACTTGACTCGCAGAATGAGCATGTGTTGAAGACGTGACATCGCCACACCTCGGCGAGACGTGACTTTGGAACAGTATACCGCCATGTGTGCTGCAAGTATGACGGGACATTATACTTGTTTCTGACTGACTCTATGTCATAACACAAACCAGCCAACAAGAAAGGAGAGTTAGAAATATAAAAGGCGGGGTTTGAACCAGAGGTGGAAATGAGCACAATCCACCACAGTCTAATTCAACTTGTTCTTTTGTTGTGTAATTGCTTGGTGTAAATGGTTTGGTTTGTGGTGTGTTTTTACAGAAATATAACTCAACATATGACTAAATTGGTTTTAGATTCACTGACTCACACACACTGATTCACAAATACATTGAGTCTAGTGATTTTCTGCATCAGTACAACCAAATTGTTTTTTTTCCTTCTGTTATGTGAAGGAATGAGAAGAGAATGTTGCGTTCAACGTCAGAAACACACAGAACACTGCCGAACAGAAAGCACCAAAACAAATCACACATGAGGAAATGATTGAAAATTGAAAACTGATTTATAAATAGGGTTTTTATAAAGTAGCTATAGAGACACACAAAATAGACATAAAAACAAACACTGTTCGTTTTGTGTTTTTTATGTGAATATTGACATAGGACAAACATCAGTAATAATGACTTAAATAAAGGCTTCATTCTGCAGGACTTCTCCTTTTCTCTTCATCCTGTCTCCTGTCTGCTCTCCTCCTCTTTCCCCGTGACCAAAACAGACTAAAACCACGTCCCTAGACCTTTTAAATCACAGCCGGAAAAGGTTTTCTTCACCCCTGAAAAAAACACACAGAACACATTTAAATTAGAAACTGCTCTCTCTGTGGAGGCACTTTTCATTCAGAAGCACTCTTGAGTGGGCTTGAGTCATGTCATGTTGTAAAATTACAGACATTCAGGACGGAATTTGGCATGTTCTAAGGTTTGAGCTTGAATGGAGAGTGCAGCACTGTGCAGTTTAGCCGCAGTCAGGAGATGCTGTTGAAATCTGTTTTCTTAAAAACGATGCTCTTATTGACCGTGTACATTTATATATGTTTCACTCAGAATAGTTATGGGCTGAAGGGTCGCTTTTCCTTTCCCTTCCTCCTCTTCAGCTTCTTCAGAGGGTGTTAAAGGTAGCAAAAGGCGTTGACGCTTTCACAGGCCTTGAAGACACAGCCAGTGAACTCCCACATTTCATCTGTCCACGGGATTGATTTCTGTATGGAGGTTCTTCATTAAAGGAGAACCGCCGGGTAATCCATTAAAGCTTCTCGGACAATCATAACATCCAATAAAAGAGAAACAACTCTCAAAAATCATATTCTTTTGTGGTGAAATCCTGTCCAGTTTATTTTTTCTCCTTTACTTGGGAAGGTGATATGTTACAAAAGTTTGAGAACTCCTGGATTAAAGCACACGGCTCCAAACCACACCTGAACGTAAAGCTCACAGCAGCCCGCTGTGTGTGCCTTCCTGCAGTCGATGATTGCGGCTGTTTAATCAAAAGTACAGCAAGCACATTTGCTTCCTGTTATCAAATTACTGTTCCTCCTTTGGCAGCACAGCCAAAACAATCAAGGGAACTAATCAGGTGAGGAGATATCTGGATTAAAGGAACAGATTGGTCAACCTGGCCTGGCCCTGCATTCATCTCCACAGCTCAGGTAGAAGTGGAGCCAACTGAATCAGAGGCAATTCATCCATTATCCTCCCTTCAGTGCCTTGGAAGAAAAAACTCAGCCACTGGAACAGCTTGTCCTTCAGGAGGACCGCGCTTCATTTTCCATCTGAGATGCTGTCTGAAAGCATGTTGATTACACCCAAAATATGAATCCTCTTTGTTTTGAAGTGTTTGGAGTTATGCGACGGGGTCATTCCAGGCGGATAAGCTCTCCAGTCTGAAAGTGTGGATGAAAGCTACGCACTCGGTGAGACAGTCGTCTGCTCGCCTGCGGGACCGCCTGTGCATGACACAGCTGGTGTCGTTCAGAATTAATTGCATCATTTGTCACCCTTTCCTGTGATCATCCAAAGCAAAGACGTGACAATTAGCATTTGAGGCGGCAGGTACGAGGACTGCACACTGACTGAAGTAGACTGAGGCGCCGTCATCTTTTACAAAACTGGACTGTCAAGAAGGAGAAACAGTCCCAGCTGGTTCTGTCTGGTCTGCCCAGTGGCTTAACCAGCCCACCAAACACACAAAGTAAAGCACAAAGTACAAAGCGCTTTATAGGTGAGTGACAAACTAGTACAGGCTGGAACATGCTTCTCTTTCTGCATGAAGGTGTACATTGCTTTAAGTACAGTGTTAAAGGTTCGATATATAACTTTCAGTTAAAACGATAATGGCTGTTAAGTGAACTGCAGTCAGCATCCTGTTGCCCGCGCTCTATACAAAGTCCGAAGGCGCGAGCGAGCACAATCCTGGGCATCGGCCAACAGTGACATTTGCAACAAATGCAAAACCCGTTCACAAATAGGCAATAAAAAATGATTAATAAATTAGATAAAACATAGTTAGTAACATTCTTCAGACTCAACATTTGGCACCTTTAACATTTCAAACTCACCTTCTGACGGGAAGCTGGACTAACTAACTAAACTAACTTGTTTGGATTGTAGAAATGTGTGGCCGTCAAAAGCTCCTTAAAGTTATCCAAAACACCCCTCTCTCCATAATCCATGCTCCAGACTAAAACACTGAAAGATAAACAGTCAAACAATGGAGAACTAATGCACACCAAAAACACCAACACAGAAATAGAGCATGGAGTTCCAAATGGAGATGCGGTAGGTATTTAAGTCCACATGAAACAGAAAGCAGAGTCTGATTTGATTCTGCATATTTAATCATAGTTAAGTTGAATAATAATTTGTTTTACAGGATGAAAAATATGATTGGATTCTGACATAAAAAAACACAAAAAAATATATTTTTTTGTAGTTTTGTACATACATTCTTAAGTTCAATACGGACTGGGGATGTAATCTTAAAGGGTTGCATTTTTCATTTAATTGGATTAATAATGAATAAAAGTAAAATGAGTAAAATCCAAAGACAATAAAACAATTAAAGAGAAAATCAATAAAAGGTAAAAAATCAATGGGCATTACACATTCAGAGCAAAATTAAATTGATTGAATGATGTGAAGCTTCCTATAATGAGCTTAACACTCGTGAATATTCAGGCATGTTTTAAGTGTTAAGGTCATGTGGCTCAGATCCTCAGTATGTCGCTAATGAAGTAGCACAGATAAGAGAAGGATCAATTAGAGGTGGAACAAAAGTGCATCTTTAAGTATTGTAAATGTACATTTTGTACATTGTTTTGGAGATTTAATGTTTACTCAACTACATTTACACACATTTTATTCCTCTATTTATCTGCTCATGTAGTTCCTTAGATGTAACATTGGAGAACAGCTTGTTAACATCACTGTTGTTGGATAAAAATAGATCTATGTTTGGACTTGCCTTAGCATGAAAAGCACAGGTGTAGTTAACAACATGAATTATGGCTCTGTTCTCTTTACATGCCAGTAAGCCAGCATGTACAATACCTTGGCCCTGCAGTAGCACACCTGAATGGGACCACCATGAGAAAGGCCTGAACCCTAATGCATTTCAGACGTTATCGGATGGTTTCAGAGAATTTACTCAACTTATGTGACGGCTGTGACTCAGAAGTAGAGCAGGTCGTCTACTAATCAGAAGGTCGGCGGTTTGAACCCTGGCTCCTCTCACTGCACGTCAAAGTGAGCAAGACACTGAACCCCAACTTTCTTGAATTGGTGATTGTGGCGTATAGTTTACACACTTTGAGTGGTTGAAAGACTAGAAAGGCACTACAGAAGTACAGTCTATGGCTATTTTTTGAAGGTGACCTAACTGATGATGTCATTTTCAGGCTTTTTCTGGTGGAAAATGTAGTTAATTGAAAGTAAAATGTCAAATATGTCATTGTCTTCCTAAACAGGGTAGGAGCAGAGTTTTAATGGTGGCTTGTATTTCATTAACATAGCTAGCCAACACAGCCCTCCCATGTCCCAGCCCCTCCAGGATTTTGCAGACTTTTTTGGATGATTTGTTGCGGCCAAAAATGATTTCATGACAGCTTTCTAAAAAATTGTGATGTGTGTTGCAATGTTTTTAGGCGAAAATTTGGAGTTGCAGTTTTTTTGTATAACTGATTAAAAAGTGTGAGAATAAAATCACACCGTTTGGAGGGTGAATTTCAGACGTCTGCATGGTCTGCATCTTCCCAACTAGAATCAAGGAAGTGAGTTTGGTGACGCATCAATGTTTTGCGGAGGATACAACAATGATTGGTCAAATTTGCGCAAAAGTTGAGGAGAATTCACAGGAGTCGGTTAAATTTATGTTCAGTTG